AATAATAATAATAATATTAATAATAAATAATAATAATATTAATAATAATAATATAATAGTAATAATAATAATAATAATAATAATATAATAACAATAATAACAATAATAATATAATAATACAACTGTACGAGACTGCACTATAAATTGTAGTTTGAACTGTCGACCTTTTGTCTGTCTACACCTCTCAGAGTTAATGAGGAATGCAAACTATGTTCATGCCTGTGAGTGAAAGTGTAGACTCAAGAAGGAAACGGTGAAGAAGAAGAAGAAACGCCCTCCTACAGTTTAAAATGCCACAGCATTACTCGATCATATGATCGTATACATCTCTCCCAGCTAAAGCCTGAGATCAGAACATAAATGTTTTACTATTTACTTTACTAACTTCATTGTTTGACGTTCATTCACTCAAAACTGATTTTTAATTTTCACATTGTGTATTTATATCAGCAAATGTTCAGAGATCACTGAGGGGGCGATTATAAATGACACAGTGTGATTTTCTCATTCTGTTCACAAACAAACCAAAAATAAAAAAAGCAACAAAAGTGAAACACACAAAACAGTTTCCTCGACTTTAGAAAGGCTTCAGTCAGCTAAGTCACAGGAATGTCTCAACTAATCATTAAGTTGATTTAAATTAAAAAGTCGCTCTGAAGAAGAATGCGGCCGTAAAGACACATCTACTAAACACTCCTAATTACATTAGTGAATATCACTGATAGCCCGGACGTGAGTATTATTTTCCAGTATTGACTAAAAGCTAATTTCCCATAAAGAAAAGACCGTTGTGAAACTTCCTGACTGTCTGGGGGGTTCCAGATAGCAGCAACACGCAGACCCAGACATCATGTGCACCCATGTTTACAAACCTGATGAGCCAGTATCATTTGTTTCTTTAGTTTCTTATCGTGCTTTGAGACATTTTCGACAACCTTGAGTTATCACCACTGAGATGTAATCAGTTTGGTGCCTACGTACCAATACTGTACGTCTTGTTGTCTAAAGGAGACCTTTAGGGTTAAAATGCTGCCTGTTTCAGTTCAGTAAAGTCTGGGAGCTGTAACTTTTTCCTTTATTGAATACACTTTACTGAACATGACCTAAAACTGCCTCTCTGTGTGATCAGTCTGTGACATAAACCAGAAGATACCAGAGCGAAAAGAAACTTTATCCAGACTCACTTCGGTTGTTTAGGAGACCTTTTTCCCATTTTAATTTAACACCGGCGAGAACGACGGGCCCCACTGATGCAGAAACACACACGGGCTGATAAAAGTGCTGCAATTTAACACATAAATCTCACCGAGGGCCCCTTCAAGCGTAACAGCCTGATAGGATCAGGTTCTTCAGGTATTTGTTCAGCAATACTGGACAAGTATAGAACTGTAGCGGAGGCCTCTATATGATGAAACTTGCATTGTGTAAAACGCGGGAATCTGACACTAACCACAATAAAATAGCCTGAGCCATTGTGTTATATCACGAGAAAAGTAGAAGGAGAAGAAGAAAAAACTCACAAAACAAAAGCCCACAACCTTTTGTCTAACACGAAACCTCTTGTACTCCTCGTCCTCTCCGTTTCTCTGCAAGAAGTAGCTGCATCTCTCTTTCTAATCACAATACTGCAAATCACAGCGAGTTATACAACTTCCACACCGTCCAAACTACCAGGTGCGTTCGATACATTAGAGGATCCAGGGGAATATTTCTGAATGTGACACAGCTTGTAAAGTCTGACTCACCCTGAATTGATGGTTAGGCTTTAAGTGCCTTAGCTATCTAATGTTTTTCTATTAAAACTGTTCTCTAATCACGTGGGTAACCTAAAAGATGAGCTGACGGTGGCACAGATACGCGCCACGAGCCTCTCTCGTAGTGAGCAGGAGAAGGAATCAAACACGAATCGGCCGTGCAAGCCTGAGCCTGCAGCGTTAATTGGCAGCAACAAGGGGGGGAAAAACAACCAAGAGACAAAAGCTAATCTATTTATGTAAAACGTCAAAACATCCCTGTTCCTCCTCGAACCTGAACACACACAAACGCCTGTTACCAGGAGACAGGTTCACTGTGGTCTGTGTACACGGACACGAGCAGCTCTGATGGCTGTGAAGAGAAGCGCAGTCAGCTTACATTCAACCTCGACACTGGGAAAACGTCCCAGTCCCAGTCCCAGGTTCTCTGTTCATAGCACAGCGCTGGGTGTAACTGTGGCCCTCGTCTGACTCGTGAAGTTGCGGCATGTTTTGAGCGTGTTTTGAAACTGACAGTTACGTGGAGGAAACATGACTTTTTTGGGAAGAACCAACGCCAGGTTATGTGGGCAATAAACAGAACACAGAGCAAAGAGGATGTTTAGTGTCTGACCCTGCACTTCCTTAAGGGCACTGACAGAGAGGATACCTGGTAAGGTAGTGCATGAGGAAACAACGGGCGAGCCCCGGCCACTCGTCATCACACGTCACATCTCTGTTTGTAGTCGCCGTTCAACCCATGACGCGGCTTAGAAAGGGCCACGGTCCACAAAGTCGCTGCCTACAGCAAAGCGATGATTGTGATCAGACAAGAAGAAACTGGTCTAGGAGGAGAGGAGGAGCTGGTCGGGCAGAGGACAGGCGGAAGGCGGAAAGAGGAACTGCCTGCAGGTAGACGAGGAATGTTTGATGGGTGACGTGTGAAAATGCTGCCCATCCAGAACAAAGACGGTGGCAGAGACTGGCGAAATGTCAGACAGCGCTAAGCTGCATTAAGAAATAAGATCGTATGTGTTCAAGTCTGCAATTCTCGTTTTACCTGCAGGATTTCCTTCTGTATCTATCTGTACGAGCATTGTTGGAAGGAGCCTGAGAACTAAGAATTTCACGACCAACATCTGCTTCACTGTAATTGTTGCATATGACAATAAAGGACTTGTAAGCTGGCGTGGCAATAACAGCCGAGGATCATGTGTATTGTGGTATTTTTAAGCTAAGATGGACGAATCGTGAGTTCTCAGAAACAAAAGCTGGTGGCCATAAACAATGGGATTGTTACAAGAAGAGGCCTGTTTGTTTGAAGAAATGATGAGATGCGAATACAGACTGAGGGGGGAAACAATCCCAGAACGAGTATTTTCTTCCACTTTACAACAAAAAAACAAAAACAGACAGCATAACTAGAATTAGGCCATGAATTAAAACCAGTTTGCGGCACAATGTGTCCGAGAGAACGACCCCATCAAAACTCAGCCTCGTCCCTCGCTGTCTGAACACTTCACCCTGTTTCTGCAGGGTTTGAACTCTCAGCGTGCGTGTGTGTTTCCAGAAAGAGGAACTCAAACTGTGATGTTGTTTTTTCTGATAAATAAATGAATGAGGCAGTCTGGCGGTCGGAGCGTCGGGCTGAGTAAACGCTGTCCGATAACATCGCTGTGGATCCGTCTGTTCTCCAGGGAAGCTCTGAGACGGGAAGGAGGCTCCGCACGGGGCTGCATCTTATCGGACGCCTCTGCGACTCTCCTCAGACACCTCCGATATCTGATCGCTCCTTATTTACAGCCACTTGACCGTGAAACCTAAATAAAACATACCTGACGCCGGGCTTTGAGTCTGATCCTGCGGGTGTCTAGTCAACGCCGCGTCTGACTGACAACTCGGCATCTCCTACCTGCAATGTTCATGTAAAACAAGCCACTGGTGTATGTTTCTGTTTAAGTAATAGAAACCCATTGGATTAAAGGTCGCGCAATTCTGAACGGCTCTTTTATCATTATGTGAACTTTGATCAATTCACTTTTTACAGCCTTGCAGTCGGCTGACGGTTGACATGCTGCGATGTGTCAGTGACAGCAGCCGCACTGTGTTATGATTACACACACAGAGCAGTCGCAGAAAGCCAGTCTAGCCGTCACGGCAGCAGAGCTATATACCTCGCCAAGATGAGATGGAGTTGGATTAGATTACATCACACTGTCACTAAATGGCCTATTAATTTTAATCATATACTTGCGACATGCCAAACCACAGACACAATGGAGTTAGGGATGGACAATAAGGACCTGATCTGGTGCCATTTTCAGATAAAAACCATCTTTTTGATAATCCTGTGAACACCTGACGAATCAAGATACCTTATTACACTGATGCAGAACTAACAGATAATAAAACAATCGACAAAATCTCCTGACAAACGTCTGTTATCTCACAGTACATACTGTAAGCTGATAGACGATATATACATTGTAAACTTTCCTTTGTTTTATCCTCTCATATCTCCACTCAACTAACCCCTCCACCCCCTGAAGGCTGCACCTGACCTCAAACTGACCTCAACGCTGCAAACAAAATACTACAGCAGTGGTTTAATAAAGAAAGAGTAAAAATAAATGCACAGTATGTCCTCTGCTGCGGATCCAATGCAACGCTCTCAAAATAGTTTCATAACCAAGCTGCACAATGCAGGACTTTCTTTACCGGTTGTTCAGGATTTAAAACAGGAAACAGATAAGAATTATAAAAGAGGAAAATGTCCCATGACATGTCGGCGGCTGAGCAAATAAACGTCTGAGACTCTGAACAAAGTTTGGCGTTGACATCGGTTAAACCGCTGCATCAGGTCACGCAGTACACTAATCAAAGTTTCAGTCGACAAATGAGTGAAAGTGGTTTTCCGGGTGCCACTGTCTCGTCCAATAAGCGGTGCACTACTTTCTGCAAATCAAATGAGAAACCTGTCAGCGGAGCTTTGAGGTTGGACCTCAGGAACTTCAGCACTCCCACAACACCGCCCACCTCCACAGACCAAACGGACAACCTTAAATCGCCAGTACGAGTCTGTTTTGAGACACTGAGATCTTAGAAGGAATCAAGATTCACCTTCCTCCCCTGGTTGGCGACACCTGACCGACCCTACGCTGAAACACATTATGTTAGGTTGGACTTGTTAGTTGAGGAAGAGGGTCTTGTCAGTGTTAAAATAACTCCAAAAAACATCTCAGCTATCAAATGAATCACAGAAACTCCAGTTTGTCAAAGCACAAATGCCTTCAGGACATCCTCCCACTTGGCCCTGCAGCTGGCTGGCCATCCGAGTGTGCACCACAAAAAGCCCAGCTTCACCTTTGCACCGGACTGGATGGATACGTCGATCATATCAGCATCAGTTAAGGGCAGCTAACCAGAGACAAATAAGCAGATTGGTTAACAGTCAGTGGATACACAACCCAGTCTGGATCCATACATCAACGACAGATTGGAGGAAGGAGGGCCCGGCAAACGGTGAACGTGGGTTTAGTTGTAACCGTGTTGCATGCACTTCAAGATAGACCCAAGAGACGATGTTTTAAGGCGATGTCGAACACACTTTGTGTTTTATTTTAAAGCAGGCAGTGGTGTAGTGCAGGTACACCCACTTATATATACAGCCCATCTGATGGAGCATACAGTACTGAGCTGCAAGCTGAATTTCTTCATTCATAGGATGGCGAAGGCGACAGTTTTCTAATTTTCATGAGTACATGGAATAGGGAATAAGGGATATTCCTTATTTTATGAATTTCATAATGATCCTTACTGCCTGAAGTCAAGCAGCAAAAGTAAAGTGACAATGTTTAATTACTACTGGCTCGTTTTTGGGTGAAATGAATATGTAATAGTAGCTTTATATGTATTATGTATTATTATAACTGTTTATAACATATTATCCTTCACTTATAAGCGCCTATTTAAATAGAAAAGGGTGGCATAGATTAAGAGTATACCCACTTCTCCAGACACCACTGAAAGTAGGGAGGGAATAAAATAAACGTGGTTAAAAAAGGCAAAACAACCGACACCTGAAGGAAACTGTGTTGTTTGACCAAAGAAAAGTTTGTTAAAACACATTTAAAAGATATCGGTCCAAACCCATCCCTCCGTTAATGTGCCAGAAACAAAAAGTCCGTTAAAAGAAAAGATTAAAAAAAAAAAAACAGGTACGAACCTTTCGAAGAGTATCCGGACGGCGAAAATCCCCAAAGCCAGCGGCAAGGCGGCCAACAAGTGTCCGGCTTTGGGGTACTCCACCCCGGGCGCCGGGTCCGCCAGATCCGCCCAGGTTACGTTGTGTGGCAGCCAAAACCTCTCGTTCCAAAACCAGGCTGAGAGAGCAGCCATGTTTAACGGTGCTCCCGTACCCACCGGACGGTCGGAAGACGGTCGGTTTTCTCACACTAAAGAGAGAAAAATGTGTGTGAATGTGGTTTTGTTGCTTCCCCCCCCCCGCTGGGTCACTTGTAAAGATGACTTGTTCTCTCAACTTCACCGCAGCAGCGTGAAGAAAGCCAGGGTAGGAAGACACTTCCGGTGTGGGTTTTTCGAAATAAGATTCATAACGGTTAACGGTTGGGTTTTTGTTTTGCAGTGTTTTTTTTTAATTTTAAATTTTTTTTTAAAAGGTCCACTTTTGTAGGGATTTAGTGGCGTGGAAGTTAGCGGTTATGTTTCAGATTTCAACTCCCTCTTGAGGTGATTATTACATAAAATAATGAAAACATCGATCTTCCTAACGTAAATGTTACACACAGGCAAAATAAGAAACATTTAACTTCAACATCTGTTTAGGTACAATAAATATTCACTGTTTTATTTAGTTAGAGTATTTTGTTTTGTTTCTCTTTCGCTTTTGAGTCGCTAAAAGACAAAAAAAAACAAAAAAAAACAGCTCTTATGATTATTTTCTCATAATTGCCAGTTTAATTTTGAAGGTACAGACCGCCCAGCTTCCGGTCTGTAACATCCTCCATCGGTCAGCTTGACCAGACTGCCGCCCTGAGAAGAGGACTGGAGTTGAGGAAGTGAGCCGAGACCCTCCTCCCTCCACTGAAGGGATGTGTGTGTGTGTGTGCCCTCCATCCCTGCTGGTTTTTATTTTATTTATCTCCATTAGAGCCACACTTTTAGTCAGATACTTTTAGATTTGAGTTATCACATCTGATTGGACCGTGGGAAGTTTTTACAGCTTCCTCTACAGTAATCCCACAGATTAGTCCTTATCTATCTCAAAAGGTATCAAAGGCAGATAACGCCTGATGGGTGTGATTGGGCCTGTGATTGATAGGATGGCACACCCAAGTGGCTAGTGGATGTATTACAACTAGAAAATGCCAGGGAATATCTTGCAAGGTACAAATATATAGAGTATTTTATTTCTACACATACATTGCACTCCTCCAAGTCATTATAATTCATTTATTATTAATTTTAAATATGAAAACGTTAAACATTTGAGCTGAAATGTACATTATTTGCATTCTTGATGGCACCACAATGGTGTAGTATTTCGAAAGGAGCAGGGATGAGGCAGCTGCAGTGCTGTCCGCCATCTAATTATAGATGGACATTTGCCCCCTCGGAGCGCGTTATTATTAGAAATCTCACAGGGCAGTTGACTCAATAACTATGCATGGGATTTCAGCAAGGGAATCAAATTTTAAACAAGTGGCAAATTATGTAACTTCATGGTCTGTGACATAACTGAGCACCAGAGCTGCTAAAAGAGGATACATAGAGGATATTTGCTTGCTTTATCAATCATAATACTGGCAATGCAGGGGATGACTAATACTGCTCCAAGGACAGAGGAAACTAGGCTATCCTTCCCCCCACTCCATTGTCTGGCATGGTGCTTTCAGCTGAAAACTCTTACCCACAGTGACTTACTGGCACTGAGCATTAATAGGATACGTCGACATATGGTGCCGGACAGATGGCTGTTAATGAACACGCACATGGGTTGGTGGCATTTTAACAGGATGCGGGAAAGATTGCAACCTCCAGAGATGTTTTGTGAATGAAAACACGAGGAAAGATCGATTACAAAAGGCCTCCATAATCACGTTGAATTAATTAAAAACAGCAGAGGACAACACGACCATCCACCGATGAGGACTGAGGCAGGGGGACGTGCACTTAAAGAAAGGTTGAAGTGGACGCTTTAAAGGTGAAGAGTTTAGAGTGGCAGCCTGACTGAGCTCAGGTCAGGTTACAGCGAGGCTGGAGTCTGTGTGTGTGAGTGTGTGTGTGTGTGAGAGTGTGTGTGTGTGTCTTGCAGAGGCGGATACCAGCGAGTTATAAAGAATACATTTAAAAAAACATGAACACAGGCACAAAGGTTCAATAATTTATTCCAAAATAAGTCTTTTTAGGGTAATTGGCTACATATTAATAAAAGTCCAGACGAGGAACAACAACGTGTGTTCAGTGCTTTGTTTCACACCCTTTTGTTAAACATACATGTCAGTGAAAAGGCAAGTTAAGGCACGTTTAACCAAGAAATTACACAATATTTTATAACATTCAAGTCGTGGTTATGTAAGAAATTCTTTTTTTTTTTTAAATAACTTTTAAGACTTGGTAGATTTTATGTAACAATCTGTGACATGTATGTTTAAAGTGAGTAAAAACAGGAGTCAAACAGAGCAGCTCAGGGTAAAAAGAGGCAACTCCATTTCTTTTTCTGTTTGAAATACCAACATGAAGATAGAGAAGATTAGGCACGGTCTTCACCTAACCTCCCCCGCTCTATTATATTCACCTGGATAATACAGTGGCTCTAGTGTAATAGTCCTTTCCCAACCTCCACCCATTCAGCAGTCCTTTACATGTGCTCTGGGTGGTTCTGCAAACAGTTGACGAACTCTGTGACAGGGTGGCCGTTGAAGCAGATCTGGTAAACAGCGGTGAAGAGAGGAAACCTGCAGAGGCGAAAGAATGACGGGAATAATGGAGGGCTACAATGTGAAGTTACAGCCATAGAGACTGGAAACTGCTCTACAGTTCACTAATTAACATGTTATTGTTTGTTTAATCATTAATACGTTTTGGTTTCATGGAAGACTTCCTGAACATTTTAATGGTTGCCTGGCAGCGTCAGCGTGACAACAAGACTCCAGGATGTTACTGCACCTGGCCAAGACTTTATCCAGCACATAATCCCTTAAAAAAAAACAACACAACTTTGTTTTTATGTGTGTGTGTGTGTGGATGAAACAAAAACTAGCTGTAACTTGTTGTGAGTTTTAGAGAGGATGGAAGGCAGAGGAGGGCTGGTTGTTTTCTCCTGTTTTCAGTCTTCATAATGGGTTCATTCTTATGTTTCAGCGTCCTTGTGTTCCCTAGATTTATATGGCACATTATGGGTGTTCCCCAGTTCTAGGATTGGGGTTAGGGAACTTCGGACCCAGGAAACAAATATACGCTCCCTTCATATTTAACATACATACATACAGAGTGGTACCAATGTTCTCATCTTTGTATAACACAATGTGAAAACAATTAGACAAAGATATTAGTTCAATCCTAATTCAGATCTGCTCAGTAAAACTAACACGTATTAGTTATTGTGGAAATGAAAAACATTCAATCTTGTGCTTAAGATATGAGACACACTTACTTTTCCACCATGTTTTTCTGTTTCAAGACTTGGTGGACCTCGGATGCAGTGGCTGGACCTTGGAGCTTCTGACCGTTCAGCAGCTCATTCTCCAACTGCTCAATGGTCTGAAAAGAGAGGGCAGTGTGTGTTTGATGTTACACTGTCTTAGTTTCATAAGAAGAAGAAGTGACACAGATTATCAAATACAAACACACAGGGGGACTAAATCTCTTCCTCGTACTTTGCCTGTTTTGGCGAAAGCTTCCCCGATCTTGCGGTTGCGTCCACCGTAGCAGGTTGTGATGAGGTCAGCGATGCCGCAGCTCTCCAGGAAGGTGGCGGGGGAAACGGAGCAGTTTGTGCAGAAGACCTTGGCGAAGGCGATCATCTCCATCAGGCCGAGACGGATCACTGCTGCCTTGGTGTTGTCGCCGAATCCCAGGCCATCACAGAAACCGGCTCCCACTGCTACAATGTTCTGCAATAAAGAGGAGGCGCTGCTGTCATTGCATTGCACTTTAAAATGTTAGGTGGTTAGTACTTCATCTATGCTCTACAGAGAGCACATGAGTTTGTCTCTTGAACCCAGTAAGATTATGAATAAATTATTTGGACCAGTGCTGCACCTTGAGGATGAGCAGATGCTTCTCTTGAACTAAACTAAAGTTTTCATTGAAAATGTTGAGCAGCCTGTTTGCAGTTCAAGATGTCTGGATGATTAAAGATGTCTGGGCAGATTATGAATTTGAAGAGAAATATCAGTTGATGTCACTAATCATCAAAAAACATCTGAATTATTTTGACCAGACAGCATTTTTTAAAAGTTTGTCTAAAAGAGGAGAGAAGTTGACCTTGAGCGCCCCGCAGATCTCCACAACGTCAGACTGTTCCACCACAGTCACACGGAAGTTGGTGGTCTGCATCAGCTCCTTCAGCATGGGCCCGTAAGTCTTGTCTTTGCACCCTGTGACCACAAAATAACAAATAAGATCATCAGTTTCCACATTAATACTGTATTGAACAATAAATATGCATCTTTTGAAGTAGAATAAATAACAAAACTTTTTAAATAAATTAAAACAATTTAGGATGTTCTGTGTTAAATTCTGTGTTTTGAGGGGCTTTACATCATAACATGTTTTAAGGAGAGGACTAGAAGAACAGAAGATCTTTCACTTTATGTAAAGTAATGGAAAACAAGATTTTTGTGTGGTCATATGACACGGGAAGACAAAATATAGGGTTTGAACTGAAGATAATTCCTTAATTTTAATTACTGCAGACATCAAACTCAAGGATCCTCCATACCGATGGTTGTTTCACAGAACTTCTCGTCAGCGACCTCATTGGCGATGTTTGCTCCCATAAGGACCGTCATGTTGATGCCCAGCTTCCCTCGGATGACCTCCGAGATCAGCTTCAGACCCTCTGGACCCGCATCGACACCCTGGAGCCCACAGGTAACCACAAAATGAACACGCGGAAATCTCATCATGAGAGCAAACTTCCCATTTCTCAAGTGTACTGTGAAATCTATTGCAATAGGAAGAACTGGTGACTTAATTTTCCATTATGGTTCTACACCTGACTGTAGACGTTACCTGTTAATACATATGGCAGTATACATGTATATTTACTTTACTACAAGCTGTTAAACAATCACAGTATATAATATATTATATATATTCATGTGCATTACCTGTTCTTACCTGTCTATAACCATGGACTCGTTCTTTCACTACATTCCCATCTGTGATACATGGCAGTTTATTCATTTTATCACTGCTGTGCACCAGTGTACCTCAATATTATATTTTATTCTACCGCACTATTGTCTTAGATTTTCCTTTTTCTTATTTACGTGCATGATTTTCTTTATATACATACTTGTATGAGCCCTCCATTGTTGGAGGGAGCTCCAGGACATGAATG